ACTTTGCCTTAATTTTAATTAATTGTTTGGGGAAAGCTTATTGAATTCCTTTCCTCAAAGGGTATAGTGCCAAATATTTTAGAACCATGAAACTTAAAAAATATTCCTTCCAATAACTTAGCAGACCTCAAGGCGTTGATTCAGTATTTTTTTGGTTTTCTTAAGTTGTACTTAAGAGTAATCGATTGATATAGCACATTTAATATCAAGATAATATTTTACGCAACTATTACGAAATAAAAGAATTTGTTTTACAAAATTGTTCATTTATACCGGGTTTATGCAGTTAACACTGTTCACTCAATTTTAGAATAAAAGCGTCACACATACTTGGCTTAGCGACTTGAGACCTTGAGAACTTTCATTAATTTTGGTCAAACGCAACCCTTTTCTGAGCCATTTTAATGAAAGACTCGGGGAATAAAATGAACTCAATGTTCCAACTACCCGACAGAAGATTATACAATTGGAGATCTCCTGCAGACAACAAAGACCGCAGAGTCAGAAATCAAATATACTGTATATTAGTCAAAAATAGATACAACATCTCAATTAAAGCAGTAAAAACATACCCCGGAGCAGATGTCAACTCAGACCATAACCCGCTGATAGCTAGAATGCACCTGAAACTCAAAAAGATTGTAATACATAAAAATAAACCAACGTTTGATTACACAAAATTGAGAAAAAGAGAAACACATCAAAAAGTGATCCAAAAAGTCAACTTAAATCTAACAGAAGTAGGAGAAGAAATCTTAACATCAGAAGATGTCAATGAAAAGTGGAGCAGTATTCAGAAGGTATTACTAAAGGCAGCAGAAGAAAATTTAAAGCCTGAACAGACAAATAAAAAACAGAAGTGGATGACTTAAGAAATTCTAGCATTAATGGAAAAGAGGAGAAACGCCAAAGGGAGAAATGAGCCAAAAATATCAAGAACTACAAAGTCGAATTAAAGTAGAGATAAAAAAGGAAAAGTGGTTAACAGATCAATGCATAGAAATAGAAGAGTATGACAGAAAATACGACAGCTTTAATATGCATAAAAAAATTAAAGAACTTAACAAACACCAAAAAGCGAGCACACTATGGGATACTCAAAGATGATAATGGTAAACTCATTGCAGGCATCAAAGATAAACTAAGATTTTGGCAAGAATACATAATGAAACTATTCGACGATGATAGAATGATACAAGAAGAACCACTGGAACAAACAGGACGGAAAATAATGTGCGAATCAGAACAGGCAATTAGAAATGCAAAGACCGCAAAATCAGTAGACCCATATGAGATACCCACTGAGCTAATTAAAATTATTGGCGAAGAATCACTGCATATACTTTAAGATCTGTTCAATAAAATATATACAACACGAGTAATACAAGAAGATTGGTTGATGTCCACCTTTGTAACACTACCAAAGTCAGTAGATGCGACAGAATGCACCCAGTACAGAACAATTTCCTTAATAAGCCACACACTTAAAATATTTCTTAAAATAATACATGGAAGACTATATAAAAAAATAGAAGAAGATATACATGACACTCAGTTAGAATTCAGAGGAGGACTAGGAACGAGAGAAGCCCTGTTCGCTTTTAACCTTCTCGCGCAAAGACGACTAGATATGAATCAGGATCTCTATGTCTGCTTTATAGATTATCAAAAGGCTTTTGATAGAGTACGACATCAGAAACTCATAAAAATGTTAAAAAAAAACAGAATGTAGATAGTTGAGATATACGGATTATTGTCAATCTGTACTGGAATCAAAAAGCAAAGGATACACTCGAAAGTGTCGATACAGGAACTATAGAAATCAAAAGAGGTGTTAGACAGGGTTGCGTGCTGTCCTCATTGTTATTCAATCTGTACAGCGAAGCTATTTTTAAGGAAGCGATATCAGAGGAACAACAGGGTATATCAATAAACGGGAAAATCTTGAACAACAGATTCGCAGACGACACCGCTTTTTTTGCAGACAGTCTAGAAGCACTGCAACGCTTAGTAAACAGATTACATCAAGTCAGTATAAAATATGGACTACAAATGAACGTTAAGAAAACCAAGTGCATGATTATTTCTAAGCAACATACAGTAGGAAGCCTAGATATCGAGGGAAAACAAGTAGGAATAGTGAATAACTACAAATATCTGGGAACCTGGCTAAATGAAAATAATGACCAAAGTAGAGAAATAAGGACATGCATTGAAATTGCAAGACAAGATTTATAAAAATGAAAACATTGTTTGTTAATCGAGACCTTACTCTGGAGATGAGGATAAGAGCCTTAAGATGCTACCTGCTTTCGACTTTTTTGTATGGAATGGAAAGCTGGACACTAAAAGTGGATAATATAATTTTGTAGATTGCGAGGTCATAAAGCACATCAAACAAGAAAGCTGGACTATTTAGGGCAGCAGAGGTGCGAAATATGAGATATTAAGGCTCATAATGTAAGGTAAAATCAAGGGTAAAAGATCCATAGGAAGGCGAAGAATTTCCTGGCTAAGAAACCTAAGAGAGTGGTATAATTGCAGCTCAATAGATCTTTTCAGAGCAGCGGCCAATAAGGTACGGATAGCTGTGATGATGGCCAACCTCCGATAGGAGAAGGAACTACAAGAAGAACTACTATCAATAACCACAGAAGAAATGAACAAAAATAAATGAAGACTTTATATAAATACACCTGGCACAGACGAACTACCTACCGAGCTATTGAAATGACTGAGTAATAATAATACAGATATACTAATGGAATTATTTATCGCAACCGAAAAACCACTGGCACTGGTCAAATACCTTTCGAGCGAATAAAATATGAAATTAAGGCGCTACATAATAGGCGCTAAACAATACATCAATACATCAAAAAAATACAAAGATATAGAAGCAGAAGGGCAAACGGGTTTTAGAACCCGAAGATCCACTTTGTTACGTTTTGTGTTACGCTTCTAATAGAAAAAAAACTGCTAGAATTTTACTATACGTTATCCTTACACAATCATACGATAGTACCTATCCCCCTTAAACGACTCAGGGGAGCCTTAGAATTGAGTAACATTAACATAGTTATTATAACTAATAATACTAATACAATATTATGAACAAGCGCATTGACAGTAAAATCATAAATATAGTGCAAACATTATATTGGAACCAAAGAGCCATAGTTCAAATTGATGGACAACACTCAGAAGAAATGAAGATCTGTAGAGGAGTTTGACAGGGATGTGTTTTATCGCCACTTTTGTTTAACTTATATTCTGAAGAAATTTTCCAAAACACGCTCAATAATATCGAAGCGCGGGAGTCACCGTTAACGGAAAATTAATTAACAACTTATGATATGCAGACGACACTGTGATCGTAGCAACGAGTATAGAGGATCTACAACATCTTATAGAAAGCTTGTGTATGAATAGTGCTGAGATGGGAATTACTATAATCGCTAAAAAACGAAGTACATGCTAATTACAAAAAGACCACAAAATATACATCACCTATTGACAATCAATGGTAACGTGATAGAACAAGTAGAAAAATATCAGTACTTCGGAACTTGTGATGAAACCAGTAGCTGATCATACTGTAGAAATAAACAGGCGAATAGAGATTGCCAGATCAGCATTTATACGAATGAAGCCACTCCTAATGTGCAAAAATCTAAATTTGGAGATCAGACTAGGTACCATTCGCTGTTATGTATTTTCAAAGAATCGATGCTTTCGAACTCTGGTTAATACCGCAGAGTATTAAAAATATCATGGATTGATAGAATTACAAATAAAGAAGTACTGGAGAGAGTTAGTAAAGAAACAGAACTAATCACCACTATACAAACCAGAAAACTGGAATACCTAGGCCACGTGATGAGGGGACCAAAATATGAAATTTTGAGACTCATAATACAAGGAAAGATTCAAGGAAGAAGATCTGTTGGACGAAGGCATAATTCATGGTTAAAGAATCTACGTGATTGGTATCAATGCAGATCTATTGATTTGTTTAGAGCAGCAAGTTCAAAAATAAAAATAGCCATTATGATTGCCAACCTCCGTAGGGAGACGGCACTCTAAGAACAACATAGGTATTATAAAAGCAATTGAAAAAACTAAATAACACACAGAGTCGAGTAAAAATAGGAAATAAACTCAGAAATGCAAGCGCAAAGACCAATAAGTGTGCATCTCACCAACGATTTTTTAAAATGTATCTTGAACAGCATGCAAACATAGAAACAAATTGTTACCTTTTTAACTGCTTATTTAAAGACATTTGTTTTTAAATATTTGTTTTTTACTTTTTTTGTAGTTTAATATTTAAGAATTCATCTTTGTTTAATAAATGTAGAACTTACCATATGCAGCAATAAATGCTATAAACTTTTGATACAGGATAAATATTTAACAACAATTAACAGTAACTGATGTATTTGCAATTTTGCATACTTATGTAGACATAATAACCCTATTATTAAGGTGTTATTTGTTACATACGGCCAGTATTGCAAAAATTATTAACATTTATTAATGAAGAAAATGTTTTTTGCAACTATCTCGGCAAATTATTGATTGACGTGAACTTGTAAAAATTAAAATTAACCGTCTCTTTATAACACAATAGTTTGTCTCAATACAAAAATTGCTTTATATCAAAAATGCGTCATTATAAAAACTGCATTTTCTGACTCTGACCGATGTTTATAAACAAAATAGGGTCGACAGTATCTCCATACGTATTTTTCACTAACTATTATTTAATATATAGTATATTAATATATATTTTTATTAATTTTCCCTGAAAACGATAATTTTTTCTTATCTAGACTGGGTTAAAATTCATTGTCACTTGCACATAATTAAAAAAAATAGACTAAACAGATGAAACAAGTATGTCAGAATAAATATTATACCATGACCTAGAGGTCAAGGTAATATAAACTATTCGCTATCCAATTAATTGCTCCTCATTTAATCGTTGCTTTTTTCAGGCAAAGGAGCTCCACCAAAAGCTGGCGTACCCCCACCACCTCCGCCAGGATGTCCACCACCCCCACCCGTCCTCGACTTGGCAAGTATGGGAGGAGCAGGAGATGCAAGTCAAGATCGTTCAGCTCTCTTTGCGGAAATAAACAAGGGACAAGATATTACCAAGAGTTTGAAAAAAGTCACCGACGATATGCAGACTCATAAAAATCCTACTTTGAGGCAAGGCCCTGCACCTTTCAAAGCGACAACTCAACAGACAAGCTTGTCATCTGTCAAACCTGCGCAGGTAAGCCAACTTCGTAAATATATTGGGACCGATAATGAAAATGATAAGTGTCAATAATGTTTTAATTTATTGATCTTTTTGAAATTTTAATGTAGTTTTGGCAATAATTTTTTCTGCTTGCTGTCATTCATATTATTTTTTTTGTGTTTTCTCGAATATCTATTGAGCCTAAGGTTCTAGGTTATGTTCAAAGATATTACTTTTACTGCTTTCCCTCCCTCAACATTTATCTATGTCGTTTCATTCCCTGTTTCTCATACTCCGCTTTGAAGATTCAGGATATTCTTATTTGACTTCTCTTCCTTTTAGCTATGGGTTCCCATTCTGTTATTTTTATCCACCAGTTTTCATAAACTCTTCTTATATGTCTGTAGTACTTCACTAGTTTTTCTTACATGCATTACACTGTGTTGCAGCTACTGCTATTCCTTTTATTTATTTTTCAATTTTTTGTTCATGTCATGAGACTTCGTAGTAATGTATTATATATGTATGTGTCATTAGAGATATATATCTTGAATTTAAACTCGGGAGCTGCATTCTTCTTGTACCCCCTCATCGTGTAACCCAGTCCTTTAGAATCTTGTATAATAACTACTTGATATATATACTAATTTTTCTTGAGTCCAAATATATTTTTTATTGTATTAATTCCACATAAACATAACATCAAATATACATACTGTCATAAACTGTTAAACAGAATATATTTAAAACTATCGGTTTTTCCGAAAGTAAGAATAGGATAAAGGCAGCAGATAATGATGCGTACATTTAGCTTAAATAATTAATTAAGTACAATGAAAAAACTGTATATTATATTTACATTTTTATTTAAACCGTTTTCCATCAGTTTTAAACAAAGATTTTTTGGTTTGATTAATAATAGTTTCCTTTTGTATTTTCAAATGCTTCTGAATATATCAAAATTAATGTTTCGTTTGTTATTTTCCAGATTATTATTCAAGAAGCAATTATATAAATATAGAATTAATTACAAATTATTTCAAAAAACAGTCGCTGAGAATTTTTTTTTAACTTTATCTACTTAAAAATATATATCATGTATGCAGCTGTAAACATTACTAATAGTTATATTTATAAAAAGAAATAAGATACCAAATCTATGAAAAAATATATGTTGGTTAATAAACGATATCTCTCAAAGTTGGTACCGTTGATCTTTATCAGTGCGTCATCTGCTACAGCATACGAAATAAGTCCAGACATAATATCGTTTATTCATCTACAAACATCATTATATATAATCATTCTCAGCGTATTCTATCGATTATGGTGTAGCCTCCCTTACATAGTCGTTCTTCATTTCTGTCCACGATTGTCGAATATTCGCATTTCTGTGCCATGTTGTACCGACTTGTTTACTTATGTCATAGTCCCATCTTAAATTTGGACGTCTTCTTGGTCTCTTGAATACCACAGTGTAATTCTAGTGGACAATCTATTGTCAGTTCTTCTCGCTAAATGTCCCACCCACTGTCATTTTAAAGATTTATTTATGCGATCCTTTGTTTCTGTCTGATCCATTCTATTCTTTTTCGATCTCTTTTTGTTATACCTAGCATGCATCGCTCTATTAACCTTTGTGTGCCTTTGAATTTCGCTGTTATCTCTTTCTTTAGTTTTCAAGTTTCACAACCGTATGTCATGATTCTTCAGGTGGAGTGGCATCCTGGATTTGAATATAACTGCATTTTTACCAGAAGATGCAAAAGCGTCATTTTTCTGTTGATTTCTGGGAGTAAGGAGCCAGATTTATGTATTAACTGTCCTAGGTATATATACTCGTCTACTGTCTTAAGTAGAGTGTTGTTTATTGTTACATCTTGGACATCCACTAGCTCGTTTTACATGGTTTTTGTTTTTGTCAAGTTCATTTTTAGGCCAACTTCATTGCTAGCTGCATTTGGGAGCTTATAAGTTCTTGTAGGATTATTAGCAATCAGAACGATATCTTCTGCAAACCTTAGATGGCTGAGGTATCCTCCATCAATGGATAGGCCTTTATTCTGCCAGTTCATTTTGCTGAATATATTTTCTAGAGTTGCAATGAAGATCTTTGGTGATGTTGCGCCTGGTTTGGTGATATTGATATTGTCGGACGTCTCTAGTAGTGGGAAATGCTGGACTGTTTTCATAAGTTTTTACCTTAGCTTTGCTTGTCTATATATTTGACTCTATATATAGTCTATATGTACTGTGTGTCAATGCCTTGGTTGGTCAAAGCACCTATTACTACCTTGGAATATATAGAATCGAAAGCCTTCTCGAAAGCTATGAAGGTTAAAGCTATTGGTATTTCATATTCTTTAGCTCTACTCATTAGTTCTTAAAGCGTATAGATATGATCCATGGTGCTGAATCCAATTCTGAAGCCAGCTTGCTTGGCTGTCTTGGCTGTGCAGCATTTAATGAATTTGTTAATGTGTGGATTATCTTTGTGGATGTCTTGTATATGCTAGGTCTGTAATTTTTATATTCTCCTTGTGTTACCTTCCTTATGAATGAGAATTATGGTTGCTGTATTCTGATGGTATGTGAGTTCGTAAATATGCCTGCTAAGATTTTCCAGGTTTTTTACCAGCGTATTTAAGCAGTCTGGGTAGTGTATTCGCCTGACTCCTTTTGGAGTGAGTGAATACTTATCTGAGAGTCTTATGAGAAAAAATATGGAGCCTTGACATTTCTGCAGTCTGTTCTATCTCCTCGCACTGCCTTCTCCACAATTCTCTTTTAACCTTCTCAGTTCCGTGTTATATTCAGATAGAGGTTTACGATAATTTCTCCCTCCCCCACCTGATCATTTGGCGCAATTAAATTTTCGTCTTCTCTCTTTTGACTTTCAAGGTTGTCAATCTTCCACGGCATTTTCTTGTTGGAATTCCACACTATTTTGGAGCAATTGTCATATTACTCGTTTTACAGCTATTTTTATGTTGCTAAACAGCACTCGTACCCTTTTACGTCTAAGAAGTGCAACATAAAAGAAATGTAAATAGATCATAAAGTTTAAGTACAAATTTATCCTTCGCAATAACACTAATACATAACAACAAAACACCGAAAACGTTGTTTTCAAAACTTCCACAAAATTTATTATAATATCTTATCAGTACAGCTGTTTCGGCAGAGTGCCTTTCTCAAGTGATCTCTTTTTGGTATATGTCTACACTTTATAGTCTTAACTGAATAGGTTGAGGAGGGGAGAACTGTTTGTCTCAGTTGGTCACTCAGAATTATGTTTGCATTTTTTAAATTGTTAATTTCCATAGATTCTAATAAAGAGAGCTTATGGCCTTTATTTTGGATGTGAAGAATTTGAACTTCGTCATTAAAAGAATGATTATGATCTACAAGGTGAAGTGGGTATGTAGAATCTGTTTTTCTATTATTGAAAGCTCTTTTATGTTCTGCTATACGTTTGTTAAAAGTTGTTTGACCGATGTAAGTTTTTGGGCAGTCGCCACATTAAAAAAAAACATGGACGATATCAAAAACGGATGAAGAATGTTTTAGCTGTTTTAAACGTACAATCCTCAGACATGTTTATAAAGACGTGCAAGAAAACTGATTATGTCGCATGCACTATAATTTTGAGCTTAACCTACTTTCTTGTAAACCTGATACTAGGTTCATCAAAATAAACAGGCTGCGGTGGCTAGGCCACATAGAGAGAATAAACGATATGTAGCCGCCGAAACATTTATAACCAAAGAACGGATGGACTGAGGAGAGGCAGACCTAGAGCACACTTTAAGGGTTAGGCGGAGGAAGACTTCAGAGTGATAATAATACTTACAAGTGTTAAGAGTACGAAATTGGAAAACTAGGGCGCAGAAGCTGATTTTGGAGCAGCGCAAAAGCCACTATAGATTGTAGAGCCAATGATGATGATGAATATTAAAACAAGATTGTCTACAGACCAGATCTTCAGTTCTTTGGGCATGTGAGCCACAGGAACGAAAATAATTTAGAAACACTCCGGATGATTGTCTCCGGAAACTTTGCAGGAAGGAGACCAAGCAGGCGATCACTGACTCGATGGGACCTGAACCGCAAAAATACTGAGTTATGACTGTATTAGGGAAAATCACGATCCTTAGTAATAATGTGATTCCCAGCTATTAAACAATAAAATCATATTTCTAATGTCTAGTAGACCGCAATATTTTATGCGTTAATGGCATTTAAAAAAGGTTATCGTCAACAAAGAAAAAGAGTAAATAATGTCAATTAAATCTTCGTTTTCTTTTCAGGTTGAGAAAGCTCCGATTTTCAACCAAGACGGTAAGAAATGGATGATCGAATACCAAAAAGGCAATCACAATCTATTGGTTGAGAATGCCGAGATGAATAATGTCGTTTACCTCTTTAAGTGCGAAAACTCTACTGTACAGATCAAAGGAAAAATTAACTCCATAACTTTGGATTCGTGTAAAAAGACCTCTGTGGTGTTTGATTCACTTGTGTCTTCCATGGAATTTATCAATTGCCAATCTGTGCAAATGCAGGTACGTAATCATAATTTCATATTGACTATAAAGCTACTCTATTAATAAAATATCATATTTATAAAATTATATATTTTTGCCTTAATGTAGGGCTTATTATTGGTACAAAAGTTTTGAATTGTGAATAAATTGTAATAAAAACATTTTGTTTTTGACGTTTCGATTTCCAATCCGGAAATCGTTTTTAACACATTATTATAAACAGCAATTATTTTAACCTATAGATTCTTATTAGTTGGCGCTATGTAGTTTCCAATTTGATAGTTGACTTACTTGGCTTCGATCTTGAAGGCAAAACAGCCATGTTTTTACTTGAAATTTTGGAGTGATGTTTTACCGCCGGATTGATATCAAATTCTGATTTTATACATTAATGTTGGTATATTCTTATTGCTGACTTCTTTTAGTATTGGTAAATAAAGCCTGCTACATTCCGTTAATGAGTTTGCTACACATTTTTCTTCATTAAGTAAGATGAAGGCTGCTTCTGTGATTTTTCTCTTTTTGTTCTCTGTTTTCTTCATGACTATTGATGCATCTTTTCATTGAACTCTGTGTCCATTGCATGTTACATGTCCCCATGATCCCATATCTGGGATCTGTCAAAGTCTCTGTTTTTTATGTATGATTCATGCTCATTTATCCGGACACTTAGTGGTTTTGAAGTTCCTCCCACATAAAAATTGTTGCATTCCCAAGGTATTTTATAGATACAGTTTTTTATCTCTCGTATGTGTTTTTTCGAACCTCTTTTAAAAATGATGTATAGTTACAGTGATACTGGTAAAACCTATATTTATGTAACTTTGGGGTTAGTTTTTATATATGTTTTTACTAATATTTCGAAGAAAAGAACCAAGAAAAAAACATTTTATTATTTAAGGCAACAACAAATAAATGTGATTTAAATACCTTTTTATCGCGTAAAACTTTGTAAAAGGCATATGAATTAAAATTGAAGAAAACAGCATGCTATTTGTTATCATTTCTGGGAAGTATTATTACATAATATGTGCTCTCTACGTGTAGCATCCGCTTTTGATGTCATGGACTTTGTTTTCAGGAAGTAGCTTAGTGATTGCTGAACGAACTGGTTAATTATTACATTCCTTTTCGCGATTGACCCCAGTGTGTCGATAATCACGAATGGAGACTTTCTTCCAGTTATTCTTGGTATAGTCTAGGCGGAATCTGTTTTAATTTGGATATTTTCGATAAAAGTCAATTTTTTGCTGTATTCACTTCAACATGTACCTTGTATCAATAATCAGGATATGCGCCAGTCGCAAACCTTGTGCTTCATTTTTTATTTAATAAAATCTGAAAAAAATCGAAAATTTTTGCTTCGTGTGCCCATATTTTCGCCTATAACTCAAGAGATATTGCTCCTACAAGAAAAAGTTCTAGAGGGTAAAAGTTTCGTTTTTTAATTTTAGATAATACTTGACTAGCTAGAAATTGAAAATTTCATGTTCATTGTTTACAAAATAGCAATAATACAAGTAATAGCATAATTTATAGCCTTCATATTTCGCATAGAAAAACTTTGTAATACTACTAAAACGTGTGCTAAATTTCGTTAGGATCGGTTTAATAGTTTTGCATAATAATTTTATAATCCAAGGCCCACAAAAAATTCAAATTTGCAATATTATCTATGCCCAAAATAAGCACTTAAATAGTAGAAAATTTCCAATTTCTAGCTAGTCAAATATTATGTAAAATTAAAAGAGAAACGTTTGCCTTGTATAATTTTTTTGTAGGAGCAATATCTCTCGAGTTACAGGCGAAAATATGAACACAAAAAGCCAAAAATTTCGATTTTTTTCAGATTTTGTTAAATAAATAAATTTCTTCGGCGAAGTTCTCGTAATTGAGGCTTGGTTTCGGGGGTAAAATCTAAATATCTCATGTTTCGTCGACTGTAGGAATGGAATCCAAAAATTCCTTCCTTATTTTCTTCACATTGTTGCCAAAACTGCTGGACATACTCGACACGTTGCTGTTTGTGATTTTCTGTAAGCAGTCGCGGTACCCACCGTGCGCACACTTTGTGGTAGCCTAATTTTTCTGTTAATATCTTATGAATTGTGGTGTGGGAAGTCTCAGGAATACGCAAAGCAAGATCGTTAATATCTATCTTCAAGCAATATTTTTTCAACTTTTTCGACAATTTCGTCTGAAACTAAATGCCTTCCACGGTCTTTATCGTGAATTTCCGTTCGATCTTCACTGAATTCTCTACACCATTTACGAGCATATTGAACAGATATGCACTTTTCCCCATAAACTTCGCTTAACTGACGATGAGTGTCAATAGGTGAAATCCATTTTGCAATTAAAAAACGTATCACAGCACAAATTTTGCGTCTGTCGGTAATGTCTATTGAGAGCTCCATCTTCTCTGAAGGCTGCTAGGCCGGCAGGGTACTGAGCAATACAGCCATGCGAGAGTGGTGAGGCGTGAGAGAGGGAGAGTTTATGCGTAAGGCAGTGTTGTCCGATTTCTTCCAGAACGTCTCATTCTTTCGCAGCGGAATAGGGAACCTTTGTTTACAAATGATCCTCGTATATAACTATGTTTTAGTAAAAATCAAGTTATAAAAACACAAATTTGTCATTCATTGTGGAAGGTACAAATATATCAAAATTAACAGAAAAAAAAATTAGGAAAACAAGGTTACTTGTAAAACTATTTATCATGTCCAGGATTCTCTGGAAAAGCGAGACAATGGAACAGTGTCTTTCCTCAGCTTCTTTCTTGTGCAGATGCGACATTTTTTGCGTATAATGTGACTTTTTTCATTAGTGCAGTAATTTTGCTGAGCATATGATGCACACGTTCGTATTTTGGGTAACAATATTTCTATAACTGACATTCTGATTTTTTTATTATTGTACTTATTGTACGATATTATATAATATGAATTAATGAGTAGTAATTGGAATATGGATTGCCAGTTTCTTGTACCATCGCAGTGTTTTACGAATTACTGGATAATATGCCATTAGTTGGTCCTGTTTGTCAACTCCACCCATGTATTTGTTATACATAGAAAGAGGTAGCGGTTTTCCTAAATGAAAACTATTATAAAAATTGGGTGACCTTGATCCAAATAATCGCTCAATAAATGCATCACTATTTTTTTCTCATGGTCTTACCACCAAGCACGTCGCGTTCATCTCCACAACCAACAAATTTTAAGATTAGACCATTGGGTTCTTTCACTATATATAGTATAACTCCGTATTTATGAGACCATAAGATCATAGACTCGTCTAATAAAAGTTGTTCCTTGGGTGAGTAAACTTTCCTCATTGTGTTGTTAGAATAGTCTACAACAGGTTTAATCTTAAAAAGACGATCTTCGGGAATTTCCTCACCTCCCCTCGACCTAAAATTTTTTAGAAAAATGAAGACATATCGTAATTAGTAAACACCGATCTTGACTCATATAGTTTAAAAAGTAAGTTACTAACCTGTGTTTCTTCCAATAATCTTTTATCTCAAGTTTTATAGTACAAGTATGTAAAGTCAACCCTAAGAACGCAAGGAACTCTTTTACTTGAATACCTTCCACTCAGTAATTCTTGATCGATTGGATCCTTTACTAATGGCCAGTACTTCAACAGCATAGTTGTTGCATTATGTTACTATGGTTTCTAAAAATTCATCGTTAATAAGTATTCTGAACCATTTATACGGTTCATCACCTGAAGGCTCTACTAATAATCTATTTGTTCTTGTAAAAGGTATATTTTTTATACTGTAACATATTTCTTGCCATAAGTATTGGATGTGGATCTCATTTTTTTAACTGCAACAACATCTTTTGTAGAGTTTAAATCTCTCAAAAGGTACATGTATTCCCGAATGTATCCCGAGTAAGTCTCTAGAGTTTTTGCAATCAAGTTGATTACCCTTCTTATTAATCGGGCATATTATTCCCTTAGCCAATCAATAATAAAATTGTTTTGCCATATAAATACTATTAGTTTATAGATTGCTGCCAAAGGTTGGTCACCACCTTCCTTATATATTTCAGAGCAGATTTTTTTAAATGGCATTTGACATTTATTTTGTTGGTGCTTCAATATGTAGTTGCTGATGTAGGTTTAGTTGATTTTCTGTTGGCTTTTCTGTTTTCTATTGATATTCTGGTTGGTTTTCTGTCTTGGCTTAAATTCTTGACAATTACTATTGAGTGATTTTGTAATATTTTCTTGTTTCATTTTTATCAAATATACTTTGTATCTCATTTAAGTATCTCATCGATTTAAGTCGATGGATACGCTTTTCCTCTCTTCTGAAGCGCATATAATACTCTTCTTTTTTTTCCCTGTGTAATCTGCTTCAAGATTTTTTTGATATGCCGTGTTTTTTCTCTCTGTTGCCATCTCGCACTCATTATCAAACCATTGACTTTTTTTGCCCTGCTCTTATCCACCATTTCAACCGATTTCTGTAATACAATATCTCGTATTTTTATCCATAGCTGGTTAATATCTTCTTCTTCTACTACTTTTTGTCCTTATTTTATCTTCTATTTGCTCCCTATATACATTTATTATGTCCGGATCTTTTAATTTGCGAATATTTATTTTTCTCTCACTTTTTCCTATATCCTCTTTTTGATTGGTGAAATATTAAGAGGATTATTAAGCTTGTACTTACAGAACCTAGTTTATCTAGAAATTGGTTAATCCGGCTTATAATCGTTGAACGTCAATGATAGTGATCATCAGATTGATCAATTTAATGAAATATTGAAGTATGTATATAATTCCCTTAATTTTTTAGGTCATGGGCAAAGTTCCTACCATCTCAATCGATAAGACTGACGGGTGCCAAGTATATTTGAGTCCGGAATCATTGGATGTTAACATAATCACTTCAAAATCATCAGAAATGAACGTACTGATACCAAAAGGAGACGGAGATTACACCGAAATTCCTGTACCGGAACAATTCAGAACAAGTGTGAACACCAAAAACAACACCCTTACAACCGTCGTAATCGAAAACAAGGGATAAATTGTTCGTGTTTAATATTTATGAACTACATTTACGTCTAACAAATTTTATAATTTTTATTTTTCAGTATTCGTATCTCCGGCTTTGAAATATTTATTTTTACGCTTAGCTAAGAAAAAAGAGATTAGTGGTATTCATAGTATGTAAATTTATGATTTTGCAGGAACTATGGGATTAGATTATTACAAAATATATGTTGATATTGAAATAGAAAGGAATAATCAATAACAATTGTAGAATTTTCTCCAACTCTTTCATTGCTGGTATGATGGGCAACAAAGAAGGTAATCGAAGATCAATGATGTTATGCAAATGTCCTAAAAGGAGATATATCTACTTTTGTCATTAATTATAATCTTTTATTAATAATTGTTACTAACAGCATTCTTAAGTTGAGTACTAAAAACCGTTGTAGTAATTTTTGCGATATTATTAAGGCTGATTCCTATGTACATAAAATTTGTTAGTAGTAAAGTATCTGTTTAGAATAAATGATATTTATAATATTAATAACTTAAGCAATTTCATACATTTATAATCGATTAGATGAGTTATCGTCAATATCTATTTAGAGCGAAAAATATGAATGTCACCAAAAGGCTGTAGCAATAATATCTCAAAATAATTTTTGAACATAATGAATAAAACAACAAACGCTGCAGGTATCAACAGTATTATATCATCCACACTAGATGTCGTTTGTTAATTAGTATATAGGCTACAAAAATACTTTCAGAAGTAAAAAATCTCTGATTTCTGGAAATTGGTTTCATAACAACTGCTCTTCCGTAGAAAAACATATACCACAATTACGTTAATCTTTCTTTTTGTGCACATTTAACGTGGTACTGTTTAGGTACATAAGCTGATCTAGAGAAAGCACCAATTTAATCCAATCTTGAGTTTTTTCAGTGTGAAGTATATGTTTGCTTTTAATCGACTTCAATTAATTTTTTTATAAAATTCGGCTGCAGCGAAGGTGATATGTCCAAAATCTGTTATAAATGTCATGTTTGAAACTTTTTCTTGTCACATCCAAAAGTTATACACCAAAATTTTATTAAAAATTATTTATAGGCAATGTTTTAATGTTTTTTAATAAATAAAAGCGAATGATCAAGGAAAAGTTTAAATTTGTGTGATTGACTGTAATACTTAAGTAGTATTTTCATGGGAGTGGATTCATGTTTCATATCACTGTGTTAATCTATATTTTATGCATATATGCTTATTTTGCGCTACATATAACTTATCCTGCCATAAATTGTGCTTTTAATAAAATATAATAGTAAATACTGCATTTTTATTTCATACTAGGAAACAAATATATCCAATATTGCTATCAATTTACAGACTCAATACTAAAGATGCAAGCCTATATTTTCTAAATTGCAAGAATAATACGAACAATACGAGAGGCTATGGTTTTTCTTGGAAAATGTAGGAGTTCCAAAACATCTAATTCTTCTACTTCTAAAACATTCAAAAGTAGTTTCGGAAAAGTTCAACAAGGTTCTTTCCAAAGCGTTTCCAAAATCTGGTGTAAGACAAGGCTATATTGTATCACCCATATTATTTAGGAATCGTATGCGAAACTTTTCTAATATTAACTAGTTGTACCCTGCATTTAAAGGAAAGACATTACACAATTTTTTATTTTATTGATTTTGTTCATTTCGAAGCTCTTTAAACAGCATCTAAATACAGTAGACCAGAGCAATGATGTCGAGCGGCTGTGGCAACAAATGGAAAAATCAATTACTGAGTCAGCAGAACTAATAATAGGAAAAAGCAGGAAGAGAACAAGGAAATGGTTTCATAGAGAATGTGAAGAAAAACTACACGACAGACAGATAAAGCGAAACATTATGGTTCAACAAGGAACAGCAGAAAGTAAAGAAGACTATGCAACTTCACGCCGAGAAACAAGAAAATTAATTAGAGAGGAAAAAAGGAAGTACGAAGAACAGAAATATGAAGAAATGGAAAGGAATAGGCAACAGTCAAATAGTCGAGCATTTTACAAATCGGTGTCAAACGAACAGAAAGGCTTCAGACCTAGATGCGTGTCTGCACTCAGAAAAAATGATTAATTAATAATAAATAAAAAAGAACTGCTCCAAACATGGCAAGAATATTTCAAGACTTTACTAAACATGCATCAAGAGGAAGAATATGGAGAAAATATATATTTTAGGGTAGAGGACCCCAAAATAGAAGAAACATTGCAAGCAATTAACAAATTGAAGAACGGAAAAGCTCCAGGCTCTGACAATATACTGGCTGAATTCCTTAAGTACGGAGGAGAAACTCTACATAGACAACACTTATGTGGAACGAAGAGAAAATATCAACAAAATGGCACGAAAGTGTAATAATCCCCATCCATAAAAAGGGAGAAAAAACCAAGTGCTCTAATTATAGAGGCATCTCCCTACTTAATACGGCATATAAATTCTTATCGAACATCCTATTAAGTAGGCTGACAGCGTTTGTAGAAAATTTCATGGGGGAATACCAAGCCGACTTCAGAAAACAGATCGACCATAGATCAGATCTTTACTCTAAGACAGCTGCTTGAAAAAGGATGGGAATTCAATAGAACTATCCGTAATCTCTTCATAGATTTCCGGCAAGCGTACGACAGCATTAAAAGGGATCAGATTTGGAATGCAACGAAAAAAACTTGTCCAGCTTGTTAAGTTATGTGTGAATACCTGTAGATCCAGATTACGGATAGGTAACAAACTCTTAGAAACTTTCGAAATAAGCAGAGGCCTGAAACAAGGAGATGCGCTGTCACCTCTTTTTTAATATCAACCTGGAGAAAGTAGTAAGAGCAGCACAACTTAAAACAGAATTACTGACAGTAAATGGACCAAAATTACTACTAGCATACGCAGTTGACATTGTGGGAAACACAGTCACCAATGTGAAGGAGACTTTTAATAAATTTGAGGTAGAGGCAAAGACAACTGGTTTAAGGGTAAACGAAGAGAAAACCAAATACCTGTGCATCAACAGACAAAGAGACGAGATAGAATAGGGCAAAATGTTACAATATACCCATATAACTTTGAAAGTGTGGAGAGTTTTAAATATCCCGGAGCAAAAATCACTGCAGATAACGATATCGCGGAAGAGATTAAAGGAAAAATTCAGGCAGCAAACAGATTTATGTACAGTCTCCACAATACTATTAAATCTAAAAGCCTAACACGAACATCAAAGATTAAAATATATAAAACGGTGATTAGACCGGTGCTCATGTATGGGTGTGAGACGTGGACCTGACCAAAGAAACTGAAAGAAAACTTAGATGTTTTGAGAGGAAAATCCTCAGAAGAATCTTTGGGCCTTTTCACGACATTAATAGCAACCAATATCGAATGAGAACAAATACTGAGGTCAACCAGATGTATAGAGCGAGCGATATAGTCCAAGAGATTAAATCCCAACGTCTAAGATGGGCTGGCCATGTCCATCTTCTTCTCATGGCGCCGTCTCCTTTCGAAGGTTGGCGATCCAAATGGCAATTGTGGTTTTGGAAACTGCTGCGCGAAAGATTTCTGCAGATGAGCGGTTGAACCATCTCTCAGTCTTCAGCTGAGTTCTGGCGTCTTCCTACTGATCTTTTGCCCTGTACTTTTCCTTCCAGCATAACTTGAAGTAATTCATATTTTTCGCCTCTCAACACATGACCCAAGTATTGCATTTTCCTCTCTTTAATTATTCTTAGTAATTCTTTTTGTTTACACATTCGACGAAGTACCTCAACATTAGTAACTCTTTGTACCCATGGAATTCTCAACATCCGTCTGTATATATAGACCTCAAAGGCATCTATTCTTTCTTCTATTTCAGAGTCCATTGTCCAATTTTCATCACAGTCACAATGTTTTATCCTATGCCTTGTTGGCTTCTTGATAGCATTTCTTTTTTTGGATTACACTGACTATTGATATTTGCTCCCAAATATTTTATGGAATTTACCTGTTCTATCATTTGGCCTTTGGCATACACATACACAACATTTTGAAAATGTTGTAAATCTTATGGGAGTAGGGACTAGCACTGTGAATGATTGGCATATACGTATAAACGTCCATGGATTTTCATGGACATACGTCCATGATGATTGGAAAAAATATGGCTGGTGAACGCAGCCATCTTATGGGAGTAGAGACTAGCACTGTGAATGATTGGCATATACGTATAAACGTCCATGGATTTTCATGGACATACGTCCATGATGATTGGAAAAAATCTAGAAACAAAATTGAAAAATGGTGCTCATCGCAGGATTCAACAACTGGGATAAAGAAACTGAAATTGATCAAAAACACCTAACAACCATATCAATGAGTGTTTGTATCTTAAGGGGGGGGGGGGTTTACCAATCTCAGCGCCTATGTTAAAAGAAAAAGCCTTACACTTCAACAAAGAAATTGGAGTTGATAATGATTTCAAGGCAAGTGAAGGATGGTTGGAGAAATTGAACGGTGTGTGGAAGCTACAAATATATGGTGAGAAACTTTCGGCTGAACCAGAAATTGTCGAAGTCTTCAAAAGGACTTTACACAGATTACTAGAAGAGGAAGGAATTACTGGAGACCAGCTTTACAATTGTGACGAAACAGGTATCAATTATATATTGCTGCCTATCTACACTTTGGCCTTAAAACAAGAAGACAATGCACCAGAATTCAATAACAAAAAGGAAATATTGACCATTTTAGTCTGCAGTAACGCTACAGGATCTCACAAACTCCCTATAGGATTTATCGGAAAATCAAGAAAACCTAGAGCTTTCAAAAACTTGAAGAGACTTTTCTTCCCTGTCAGTTTGATACCGCCATCAAAAGAGTGCTTAGATAAATTGTCTTCTATTTAAAGAGTAGTTCCACAATCAATTTGTACCAAAGGTTGAAAAACATTTAGCAAACAATAATCTACCGAGAAAAGCAGTCCTGCTGTTGGAAAACAGAAGTCCTCCTGCCCAAAAGATATCGAAATAAAGTGTCTTTTTTTGTCCCCAAATGTGACATCCCTCTGTCAACCTATGAACCAAAGTGTTACAGAATCTATAAAACGTATCTATCGACGAACGTTACTGACGGCGTCGATTGCTGGAATGGATGAAGGAGAAAATGTTACAGAGACTCTAAAAAAAGTGGACATGTTGTATGTGGGTGACCCAAGTATGGGATGACATAAAACCAATAACAATGGTAAGGTCATAGACAAAGCTGTTAGAACACAAAGCATCTGATGAATGGATGGAAGAGAAACCAGAGCAAGGTACCAATGAAGAAGAGATAGCTGAACTGGTAAAGAACCTGCCGGGATGTGAAAAAAATTAAGAAAGGACGATGTTAACAAGTGGATGAGTGCAGACGGATAGAACAAATTAACAGACGGCGATATATTAAACATGGAGTGCAATAATGATGATAAAAATTCAGACACTGAATAAAATCCGGTCGTAATGAGCCACCCGAAGCATTC